CAATAATTGTATCCCTTAAAACTCATCTTCGATCACCAAAATTACATATTAAACGTTTTTCCTTAAATTATTTTTCATGCCTTAAAATATCTTGAATGTAACTCGACACCCTCGCCTCATTTAGTATGTGCGGTTCTGTATGCAAATGAGCCCCGCCTCCACTCATTTAGCGTGGACCATAATATAGTTACATTTTGCAAAGATACGAGTGATAAAGCAAATAAATAGCTTTATGTGAGTGAAGTGTGTGTGTGCGTGTCTATTCTCCTTTTCTTCTTAAAGTCTTTTTGTTCACATGGTCCAAGTTTCTCTTGTAGTCTTTATTAGCATCTTCACTTCTACTCCCGCTTATATTAAAGTCCCGCTGTAGTCGATCGTTTCATCCCTTAAACTCGTCTTTGATCTCCAAAATTACATATTTAAATGTTTTTTCCTTGAAAATAATTTTTCATGTCTTAAAATATCTTGAGTGTAACTCGACACCCTCGCCTCATTTAGTATGCGAGGTGCTATGAATATGCAAATGAGCCCTGCTTCCACTCACTCACACGTTGATCTGATTGGTTCCAAGGTGGTTTGTGACGTCAGAAACACCAAAGCGTGTTTTTGAGACTGTCTTTGGTTCACTGCAGTTTTAAGGAGGAAATACTCTTACACTTATCAACTTACACACGGTGTGTGTTAAAGCGGATTAAACACACACCACATAGACATTGACTAAAATCTCTAAACTTGACCAGTGTATAAAACACAATGGTGTCTTGAAGTCCAGACTAAAGGAGCACGTAAGGAAAGAAAGCCGTATTGTAAGAACTTGTGACCTAAAAAGAATTTGCTCTAATTTGAAGCTCATGAAATCTAATGCAAAACTTGAGAAGCCATTTGTGCGCAGTTCACTGGCTTGGAAGTTGACTGGATTAAATCGGAGTTTTATAGGATAATAATGAGTTAAGGACTTTTTGCCAGCGTATCTCTCCTTGGGGCTGTGCTTGGGCTCTGCTTGTCTAAAGGGCAGCGGGAATGGACGTGCAGACAGATGAATGGTGCCTGGACTGAGCTTATTTGTGTTTAATGTGCCATAAGGGGGTGAGGTAATTAGCTTTAGGTCAGGTAGTAAAACAGGTGCAGATGAATGAAAGCCGTGCAGCTCATGTAAATGAGAGATGATCTTGACTGTCTGAATATTTTAGGCCAGACTGGATGTAGTTGGTCCAGATCTGCTTTCAGATGTCCGTTATGTCGACAGGCAGAAAGTTACAATGACGATGCACAATACAAAAACATTAATGGCATAATAATAATGTATTGGAATTGATGGCAATTTTGTGTTTTGTTCTATTATGGCGCCATCAAAAGTAGATTTGGTGAAAATATATCTCTTTGTTTTGGAGTTATAGACATGTATATGTATGAGCACATTATAAATGATTCATGGGCGACATCGATTGGATTTTTTTGCCACTTACTATCAACGTTTTTATATTGGGGCATTAGCAAATTGCCAGCGACCGAATTTCCTACGGTGGTTTCGTCTCGAACGGTTTTGAAGATATTAGCGGAAGTGCTAAATTACAACGTTGCACAAACCATAAGGTGAAACTTGGCATGTTGGCAAGAATTAAACGGTCTAATGAGATGATTCCCGTGAAAAAAAGTCGACCACACCCAACGTTATAAGCATTTGATTATTTGATTTTACCACTAGATGGCGCTGTCTCAAAACTTCTCAGTCTCCTTCAGGGCATCGCATTGTAACGATGCGCTGATGCGTTCATAAAATACAACATTTTTTAAATACGTTATGAATTCCAATACATCATTTTACTGCAATATTCAAAATGGCCGACGGCCAAAATAACCGATATGGAATAACTGGATATCATTCGACTCCGCGTGCCACTCCGAATCGAACAGGAACACTTTTATTAAAAATAAGCCAAACTTTGGATAGTTGGTGGCGCTAGAGGGATTGAGATAGAGACTCCAAATTTGCAATGGTGAATGTTTGGACTTACCTCTATCAATGTGCCAAATTTCACAACGGTTTACCACATGTTTCTATGGCATAGACTCAAGTGCGGAAAAAGAAGATATGTAATAATAATAATAATAGCAACGCCAGCTGATGCAATAGGAGCATACGCTTGACCCCTAATCATGCAAATTCAGTTCAGTGTTGATTTAGCTGAGTTCATTGTGTAAATTATGCAACAAGTTCAATTCTGCTGTAAAGAAGACAATAAAATCACTAATCAGATTAATTAATCTCAAGATTTGTTCTCATCTAACAATGTCAGTGCAGTTAAATCAATAATATTGCTGAATAGCAACTAGAGCCCGACCGATAAAGGATTTTGAAGGCCGATACCGATACAAATATTTTTGGGTTTTAAAATCCGATATTCCGATATATCGGCCGATATTTTTTTTATTAAATATTGTTGGATTTCACACACGTGTAAAAGAAAAGCTAACTTTTCTGCACAAGATACGTTTATCTCTATGTCTAAATGTTCACTCCTCGCAAGTCTAACTTACATTTTACAATGCAGGGACTGTAGCTAGAGATTTGCTAGTTATAAATACGGTAATCATTACTTTATTTAGGCAGAAAAAGTTCATTGTGGTTTTCAAGCTCATTAATGTTAACGTTAGCACTGATGATAGTGGCATTAGCTAGCTTTAGTCTATGATGAGCCATAATTTAGCAATAGATAACATCATACTGCAAATTGTAAAACATACGTTTTCAATGTAACAGGCCGAGGAGAGATGATTGAAGCGTGTTTCGTCCATTTTTATTTTATTTTTGAAATATTCATTTATCGGCCATTATAACTGCCGATACCGATATTATGGAAAATGCCTAAAATCGGCCGATAATATCGGTCTGGCTCTAATATTAACCCTAACTAAGCACCAAGATTGTACTCATGCTACTTCCCAGATTCAGTGTCACTGTATATCCCGATTCCCTTCATCAGGAACCCAGTTACATGCTGCAATTCATCTCTCTTACTGCATTTCCCCTCAGAATCCTAGCTTTAAATAACACGTTTGCAGTGCGCTTGATCCTTTATTTAAAATCAAGACGTTAATGAAGATATTATAAAACAGACTCCCTCTTAGCAGTTTGAAATCAATCATTAAAATGTGTTTTAAAGGCATGACTAATTAAAAGGGATATTTAAATGGGATTGAATTTTAATGGCGTTCTCCCTGTTACCTTTGTGTGGGGTTAACATGAGAGGAGAGGAGATTAGATATTCTCACACTAATTATGAGCGGTGTTCCCCAGGGCCGGGTAATGGGGCCGCTCGCGTTCGCATTGATCCTCTGAAAACACGCCAGCCACAGTTCAGGGCCCTCGGGGCTTGTGGTTTGGACCCTGATCTCGGAGGTCAGGCGGGAAGAAAGGCGCTTTTCCGCGGTTCGCTCTGGTGGTACACGACAATCAAGAGCGGATGAGAAAATGTGGGCTTGTGTTATGATGGGCTGTCGTGCTTTGTTGTGAAAAGTGGTGAGAGTTTAACCTCTTGATGGATTTGAGTTTGTACAAGGTTTTAAGTGGTAGTTTTGGCCACTTCATTGCACTTTCCATCATATACTGACATATGACAAGCAATGAAAGCTCGATATGGGGTGGTGGATCACCGGAGCTTTTTACACTAATTGTAGAGTGAATCAACAATAGCTATTTTGGGAACACTTTACAATAAGGTTCATTCATTAGTTAACTACCTTAGTTAACAAGAACAAATGTTAACAAGTCAACATTTAGTCATTAAAATCAAAGGTTGTGTTTGTTAACATTAGTTACTGCACTGCGAACTAACATGAACGATGAACAGCTGGATTTTTATTAATTAACATTAACAGAGTTTAATAAATGAAGAGTTCAGATGCAAAAGCCTCTAAGTGCCATTTGAAATTTTCTTCTAGAATGATCATTTTTGATCAAACTTGTATATTTAAGTTCAGTGATTTCACTTAAATGGCAATGATAATTACCTATTAATTGTTATTTAAGTGAAATTACTGAACTTAAATATACAAGTTTGATCAAAATCATCATTAAAGAAGAAAATTTCAAATGGCATTTAGAGGCGTTTGCATCTGAACTCTTCAAACACTGTTACTAATGTATTGCTCATGGTTAGTTTATGTTAGTTAATACATTAACTACTGTTTTAAAATAGTCAAACAACTAAAGTCACACATGTATTTGTATAGAGCTTTTCACCATATACTATTTTCTCAAAGCAGCGTCACAGAAAAAGAAGATATTAATGTTTAAAATATCTGTTCATTAAGTTAAATGAAGTCCCCCTGTGGTTTATTTCGGTGTAATAATATTCTGTATTATTAATCGCTGGTGTTTCTGACGTCACATACGACCTTGTAACCAATCAGATCAACGTGTGATCGTCAACCAGTGGATCTCTGAGTGAGTGGAGGCGGGGCTCATTTGCATATTCATAGAGCCGCGCATACTAAATGAGGCGAGGGTGTCGAGTTACACTGATTTGTGATCAAAGATGTGTTTTGAAGTATACAACTATTATCTACAGGGCTTTTAATATTAATACAAACAATCACACAGCTGTGTTTATTTAATTAGTGGAAAATAATATACATTTATAGGTAACTTCAAACATTTGTTTTTGCTTACAGAATCACACAAATGGAGTATTTTTCCAATGTTTTTCTTTGGAAAATGTGAAGATCATTGTGGATGCTCTGTGTTTGATTATATTTGTTTATTATGCCTGGGCGTTGTTGTTGTGATTTCTGCAGCGGCCGTGTGTGTGTGTGAGCTGTGCTAGATCATGATATATGAATAACTTGTGTGTGTGTGTGTGTGTTTATGGAAAGGCCAGCTGGCAGTGCATGATGGTCTCGTGAACTCCCCTGATTGACATCTCCAGTTTATCACATCTGTGATGCATTCATATTGACATGCTGAAATATTTCCAGACTGGTGTGTGTGTGTGTGGCAGGTCTGGATCCAGAGAGACATTTGGGAAAATCCCTGGCGGAGATGGAACCGTATCTGCACGAGGTCAGTGGAAAATAATATTAGTAATAATAATAATAATGCTGTTTCTGCTCCTTCATTGTAACGACACAGACGGGTTCACAGATTACAGGAACAGAGAGTGTTTAGGCTAGAATAAAGTTATTGTCCAGGCAAAGTTAGTTTTGATTGATTTAGATCAAGTGTTTCACTGTCAAATCTCCATCATAATTTAGTCCAATATCACACACACAGGTCAAACTTGATAAATTACAATATTGTATTTTGTAATGTTTACTTAAAAAAAAATACTATGGTAATTTAAAGATGTGGTAGCATTAGATTCTGGACGGGAATGATAACTCTGGGAGTTGGAAGGGGTGTTTGGTGATTTTGCCTTCTCACACACATTTCTGCTTCATATATTGCAAAAATATTGCAAAATATTATTCCAGTGTAAATCATCTGTTTTCTATGTGAATATACAGTAAAGTGTAATTTATTCCTGTGAATTTATCATCATTATTCCAGTCTTCAGTGTCACATGACCCTCCAGAAATCACTCTAATGTGAGGATCTGATGATCAAGACACATTTATGATTATTATCAATGATTATTTTTGTGGAAATGTCATACTTTTTATTTTATTTTTGTTCTTTCATGAACAGAAAGTTCAAAAGAACCGCATTTATTTGAAATGTTTTCTAACATTATCAATGACTTTACTGTCACTTTTGATTGATTTAATGCGTCCTTCATGAATCAACATATTATTTCTTTTTTCATACTTTAAAAATGAAGTATAAAAAACAATTTTAATCAGTTTTCAACATTGATAATAATCAGAAATGTTTCAGATCCTCATATTAGAGTGATTTCTGAAGGGTCATGTGACAGACTGGAGTAATGATGATAAATTCACAGGAATAAATTACACTTTACTGTATATTTACATAGAAAACAGATGATTAACTTCATGATTTTCATCAAATTAATGCTGAGCAGAAAACACTTTCAAAATATACAGTAAAAATAAACTTTTAACAGTAGTGTGTATAAACATTTGCTATTAATAGCCAGTAAAAAACAGTACCTAAATCCTGTAATAACGTGATGTTCCTGTAATATGAACACAGTGATGGTGTGATTCAGCTTTCAGAGAAGTATGGAGTTCATATCTGTGGGGAAGGAGGCGAGTACGAGACCTTCACCGTCGACTGTCCGCTCTTCAAGAAGAAGATCGTCATGTAAGTCTCAAACACAGCGCCAGCGTGTGTGTGTGTGTGTGTGTGTGTGTGTGTGTGACCGTGTGTCTTGTGTTTCAGTGACTCTGCGGAGACCGTGATCCACTCGGCCGATGCCTTCGCTCCTGTGGGATTCCTGCGCCTCACACACATGCACACCGAGGACAAAACAGAAGTACGGCCCAGCTCACACCAGTCCCGCTCTAAAGTCCACTCATGTGACCGTGAGTGATCATGTGACCGTGAGTGACGGGCAGTTTCAGGACACAATGTTACAGTCACACACGGAGCGAAACTTTTATGTGAAACTCGTGAGATCGAGTTTGTGGATCATTTACAACAAATTAAAGATTTATTTTGTGCTCGCAAATGTTTTTAGTCCATTTAAATGTTTGCATTTCTAAGATTTTGAACCCTTCCACAGCTTTTGTCAGCTGAACCTCCTGGACGTCCAGTGAAATATTACTGATATATATATATTAGTAATACTTATATTAGTGTAAGTTCACATTTCAATTATGTAACAATGCATTTGCATGTTCGCGCTTCTCTGATGTTGGCTAATGGTCACATGACATCATGGAAGTAAACACACAAAATACTTTTTCTAAGTTGGATTTTTTTGTGTGTGTGTTGAATTTGTATTGCTTTTAATATTATTTTTATTATGCTGTATATATGTATGAAATGTGAGGAAATGATCTTTCTCTGCTTACAAATCTTTTGTGATGGAATAGCCAATAGAGATACTTTTGCGATGTGTCCAGAAAACACAATTTCCAGAATCATTAAAATATATTAATTATTATTATTAAATAATATAATCTCTTGTTTTTTTCCCCCAAAAGCACACTGTAATCTGCTCATGTGTAAATGAAGACACAGTCGCTCTTCATTCTGAAACACTGTACACCCCCTGACTGTAGTCAATCATTTCCCCATTTTATTTTATTTTATTTTATTTTATTTTATTTTTGAGTCTCTCCATCTTTCTGACTCCGGTTTGAACATAAAAGGCTAAAGGTTTTTGAAATTTTCTGTGTGTGTGTGTGTGTGTGTGAGGTAAAAGGACCCAAGCTCTTGTAGCTCCGCCCCCTGTGCCGGGAGCAGCAGCTCATTTGCATTTAAAGGGACAGACACGGAAACTGTATGTTTTTGCTAACCCTCTCAGTGACAACTTTAACATGCTGTATAAAAATATCTGTGCGGTATTTTCAAATAAAACTTCACACACACACTCTGGGGACATCAGAGATTTATTTTATATCTTGTGAAAAGAGCATTATACCACCCCTTTAAAACTTTTAAAATCTTTTGACATAAACGTGTTTTCCTTGAAAAAAACTTCTTCATGTCTTAAAATATCTTGAGTGTAACTCGACACCCTTGCCTCATTTAGTATGCGCGGTTCTATGAATATGCAAATGAGCCCTGCCTCCACTCACTCACTCGTTGATCTGATTGGTTCCAAGGTGGTTTGTGACGTCAGAAACACCAGCGATTTCAAAGCGTGTTTTTGAGACTGTCTTTGGTTCACTGCAGTTTTAATACTCAGCAATGCTGTCCACTTATCAACTTACACACGGTGTGTGTTAAAGCGGATTAAACACACATAAACAACATTAAACGCTGGATTTACACCACAGTGATTAAAATAAATCGCAGCGTTCGATTATATCGAAATATGTTCGATATATCGCTATTTAAGTTAAGTTAACTCTTGAACGCGTGTTTAGAAACCAGTGATGTACAGAAGTGCACTGTCCGTCTCATCATGTCTCCATCCGCACGCTTATTCTCTGTCCCGTATGTAGAGCCGGTGACGTCTGCAGCGTTCACACACACGTCCAGTCACATCACCCTCTCGCGCTCAGGTACGCTGGGAAGGTTATTCATGTGACTTTGTGTTGAGCGTTTCCTCACACTGTTGTTGTTGTGATGATGTCCTTAAGGAGTGTGTGCTGTTCATGCCTGCGAGTGTGTCCACATACTCCTCTCGATTGAGGTCACTGTGACCTTTAACCCCTCACCAGACACGCTCCACCCCATTGTGCATTACATTGGAAGTGTGTCATGTGATAAGTCTTATGAAAGCAATCAGAAATCAGCGAGTGCGTTATGACATGCATGTTATGATGATGTTCTGTTCTTGTGGAGGAGTTGGTGTGTTATGGGTCACGCCGTGTCCTCAGTCTCAGCTCCTGGCTCTGTGTGTGTGTGTGTGTGTGTGTGTGTGTGGCTGGAGGATCGGGGGTTTGAGGGGGTAAAAACACACGGCCTGAGACGCTAGCTCCCGCAGCCACGCTCGCCCGCAGCGCAGGGAAACCCTGCGAGAGAAGCTCCGTCGAGAGCACTCTCCGTCACGCTGACAGATCCACGCTGACACGGCTGGGGGGGCGCGCACACACACACGGCACACACACACTGCAGGGTAATTAATCTAATCATCATACGGTCAACTGCAGATGACAGCGGGACATTAAAGAGATCTGAAATATTTATTAAAAATGTGCCGTGTCCGGCCTGGTGGTGTGTGTGTGTGAGGGGGTCTTCTTGGCCTAACCCCCCGTGTGACCCGGATGACCCCTGGGATCATCGGACTGAACCCGCTCCGGGAATACACAGACCCATTTTCTTGTAAACACGTGGGGAAAAAATCATGCTTTGATAAATCGTAATTATAACATTAAAAGTCATGAGAGAAAGTCGAGAATTATAACAAAAGTTTGACTTGGTATGTCAGGATTTTTACTTTTTTATCTCATAATTGATGATAATTATCTCATACTGTAATTTAGCATGTCAATTCAGACACATTTCATAATCAGGGTTTAGTATCTTATAATTTTGCTGTTTTTATCTCATAATTATGACTGTCCTAATTTTGAAACTTATTTTATAATTATGCCTTAAAAAACAATTATGAGATAAAAAGTCACGAGACACTTTTGCATTTATCTCATAAGTCCTTGACATCTCAGAATTTTGACTTTTTGACACGACTTTTTCTGATAGTTATTAGTGTTTCTTCGTTTTAAATAATTTTAAATAATCATAATTTTGCCTTTTTATCTTATAATTGACATTTCAGAATTTAGACTTAATATTTAACAATTTTTACTTTATCTCATAATTATTAACATGGGAGTTTTGACACTTATTTCATCATTGTGACTATCTCATAATTGATTAACATTTCTTAATTTTGGCAATTTCATATTATTATTAGTTTAAATGTTGACACTTATTTCATAATTGACTAAGTATCTTTTTATCTCATGATCAGGGTTTGAAATGAACACACACCATATGCGTGTAAAATCAGTTTTGGCGGGAAACACTGTTTAATAACGAGATAATTTGGTGCGTTACTTATTGTATTTCCTCACTTTGCTGTGAAGTTCATGAGGTGTAATCTGCAGATTTAGCACAAATACTTGTGATATATTAAATACAGTGTTGCACAGAATCTGCTCATATCCGTCTCACTCGAACACACACACGTCACTACACCACAGAGAACGGCACGCTTGTTTTAATAGCCAAGATTAGAAGCGTTTGGTGAACAGAAAAGATGTTGTTATTTCCCAGCATCCCACATGTGTTGATGTTCTCTGTCCTGTGTGGATCTGTCCTCCGAGAACACACGTTTGGTGATGAGATGAAAGAGGAAGAGGAGATGCTGGACGTTGTTTGAATAAGAAATGAATGTATGAAATCCTAATTTGATATATCTAGATATAGTATGTAACTTAGTTTTAATTTAGTAGCCAATTTGGCCAGTGGGTGAAAAAGTTAATTTCAAACCCTGATTACAATTACTTAATATCTCGTAGTTATCCCACAATTGCGACTTTTTATCTAAAACTTGCGACTTTTTATCTCATACTTGCGACTTTTTATCTAAAACTTGATACTTTTTATATCATACTTGCAACTTTTTATCTCATACTTGCGACTTTTTATCTAAAACTTGAGACATTTTATCCCATACTTGCGACTTTTTATTTAAAACTTGAGACTTTATATCATACTTGTGACTTTTTATCTGAAACTTGCAACTTTTAAACCTCATACTTGTGACTTTTTATCTCATACTTGCAACGTTTTATCCCATACTTGCGACTTTTTATTTAAAACTTGCGACTTTTTATATCATACTTGCGACTTTTTATCCCATACTTGTGACTTTTTATCTAAAACTTGCAACTTTTAAACCTCATACTTGTGACTATTTATCTTATAATTGTGACTTTTTATCTCATAATTGTGTCTTTTTAATCCCATACTTGCAACTTTTTATCTCATAATTGTGACTTTTTATCTCATAATTCTGATTTAAAAGCATGTGGTGGTCATGGGCTTCCACACTGAGATGAGGATCATATTCATGTATATATATATTCCAGCGTATCAGCCTGCAGGTTGACTGATCAAGCGTGTGTTTTTTTCCGGGGTGTGTGTGTGTGTGTGTCGTCTCCTGCAGGGTTTGGGAGCACTGCCTCTCAGTAGATGTCCTTGCCAGAACACCATTGACAAGATGACAGAAGAGCTGGAATATGCTGATAAATCTCCAGACGTCCAGCGAGGGTGTCCATCAAACGCTGAGCGCGGTTGTCAGCCGGAGCAGGGTGAGCTGTGTGTATAAAGCACATCATATTGTCTGCCTGCAGTATAACTGTTACTTCATTGAAATTATTTGAAAATTGTATTGGTTCATCAACACCAAATCAAAAGTAGCTCGGCTGTACTCTTCTTGACGAGACGCTATGATAATGCCATGTTTATGTTTATGGCTGAAGAGCCAGTCTGAATATCCTTTAGCATTCTTACAACAACAGAACAAAAGCACATCTGGAGAAGAAGCTCGTCACACCTCAGGGACGGCTCTGGTGAAAACAGTATTTTGGGGCATGGACCGTGTGTTTTGCATAATGTCATTATTAATTCCATGGTGTTTATAAATCATACAGTATATTATTTATGTGTAGTTAACCGTTCAGCATCATGATGTTCTCTATGCTGGAGAAGAGCTTCCTCTTGCACGTCTACACACTCCTCTAAACTTTTCACCTTTAATGTGAATATCTCAGCCTATAACCAAAGACGCATTTTAGAGAAAAATAATCATTAATAGAGATAAATTACCTAAATGAATCACTAACATCAATGCACTTTTCAAATACATGTGAATCCAGTTGGATTGAATTAAAATAATATTTTAAAATCATTTTGATGATCATTTTGAATCATTTTGATGATCACTAATGCTGGTCTTGCTCTCGCTGTGATGCGACACACATTACGAGATCAGGGTGAAAGGTCAAGCGTGACGTAGGCGTTAGAACAGACCCAGTGTTTACAAAGAGACTAAATCAAACACCATTTACAAATTAATGAATAAAGAAAAGGTAAAACAGCGATGTCGGACGATTTTGAAGTCAGAGGAGAAAACAAGACAGAGTTTTTTGCTTTACATTTCTGAACCAGAACACGCTTGACCTTTCACCCTGATGGCGTAATGTGTGTCGCATCACAGCGAGAGCAAGACCAGCATTAGTGGTTAAAGTATATAAATGTGTGTTTTGTTGTAAATGTCGCTGGTTTGTCTAGATCAGACTCTTATTCCTCGGCTGGATCGTGTCGAGACTTTGAAACTCACATCTGACCTTCGACCCGTTGGACCCCATTGAAGACACTATATGGAGAAACCCTCCTCAAAAATCTTGTTATTTTTGTTGTTTAACGATATAAATGTAGAGTTGATATCATCAGTGCTTGTTTTAGCGGATGACGTGAGTAATGCACATGCGATGATGATGTTCTGTTGAAGGTCGTCTGCCGTCACACTCATCCCGGAGTCCGGCGGGTTTCCAGTGGATCAGTGGCTTGACGGCGCCTCCGTCCGAACACGCACACGTCCAGGGCCAGAGCCGGCACATCTTCACACTCCTGCAGAGTAAGAGTCCTCCTGTTCTGTGTTTAATGTTGAATACAACACCAGCGCATGTGTGTTCGGCGGCGCCGCTGATGATGCACAGGTCGAAAAACTAGAGTATCGGGCAACAGTTCATGTATTTCACTAATACAAGTTACAAGGTGAAACTATATATAACCATATCTGGTAACACTTTACTTGAAGGGTTGTGCATAAGACTGACACGACACCTTCATAATCATGACAGGACACATGTGTCATTTATGACATTTTGAATGCAAATATGACATTGTTTGAGATGCCTTTGATATGACACCTTGACATTAGTAAGATAACACAACCTGTCATAAATATGTTATAAACATGACATAGCAAACCAACCACATGGCAGTTTAATGTAATGTTAACCCATAAATCTAAGTTGTTTCTTAAGTTTGATCATTAATCTGCTATGTCATATTTATGACAGGTTGTGTTGTCTTAGTAAAGTCAAGTTATGAGAAAGACACTGACAGGTTATGATGTATTGGTTTATGTCAAGGTGTCATAGCAAAGACATCTCAAACAATGTCATATTAATTGTGCATTAATATTGTCATAATTGAGTGAATGACATTTAATTCATAACGTGTGTCCTGTCGTGGTTATGAAGGTGTCGTGTCAGTCTTATGCACACCCCTTCAAGTAAAGTGTTACCGCATAGACATATGAATTATTATACTTTTCTGAGGGCCGAAATTTCTGTAAATTTCTTTAAAATATTTTTTTATTGATTTCATGTAATATTCTTATTTTCTGAGATTTTGAATTTGGTGTTTTTATAAGCTGTAAGCCATCATCAAAATTTAAACTTTTGCACAATATTCTATATACGGTATATATTATACACAATATTCTTTCGAGTTTCACCTGTTCACTGCAAAACATGCTGTTTTTGTGTAAAACTTATTAAATTAAGATGCATTTAGTAAAGTGTTAAAACGCCATAAGATATTGGTAACACTTTACAATAAGATTTATTAGTTAACTATTGACAGAACAATACTACTTCAGCATTTGTTAATCGTTGTTAATGTTCATTTCAACATTTACTAATACTTTATTAAAATCTCGTTAACATTGGTTAATGCACTGTGAATTAACATGAACAAACATTGAACAGCTGTATTTGTATTAACTAACATTAAAAAAGATGAAAACAAAAACCGTAACAAATGTAGGCTATTGCTCATGGTTAGTTCATGTTAGTTAATACATTAACTAATGTTTAATAATTGTTTAACCTTATTGTAAAGTGTTACCAAGATATTATGTCTTGTTAAGTTAAGTGAGATTAAGTTGTGTCTTGAAAAAATCTAAATTATCTTCCAATGGGGTGAGAAAAATAATAATCTTAACTCAAACAGAAACTGGATTTTTCTTCTCACCCCATTGGCAGATCATTTAGCTTGTTTATTTCCCCAGAAAACAAGACATAATATATAATGTAATTTCAGTCATCTAGTAAATGCATCTTGATTTAAGAATGTTTGGACTGGAAACAAGACAAACACTGAGTGAGAAGAGTGTGTAGAGGAACTGATGAAGAACATGAAGCGCTTCTGCAGTTCGGCCCATCAAACGCTGGCGGCGAACAGGCCTTTGTTCACACACACGCTTTCATTTCCCTCTTGTTGTGCCGGCAAAATGCACTTTTAAGAGGTACAGCTCTTTATTCTGCGACCGCTCTTTCATTCGCACGAGTGTCAGCGTCACGAAACACACTTCAGATTAAACGAAGCTCTTCTATCGCCCGCAGAACTTTTAGAAGACTGGCCCGTAACAGCAGAGAGAGATCTTTAGCCGGAGCGGCTCCAGATGAAAAGCATATTTAATCTTTTTCGTCTTACTTCGCCAAACAGCCTTCACAGCGCCGAGACAATATTAAACCAGTTAATATTTAATGAGCGGCTTTCTTGTGCGAGCGAAGTGCGCTGGAACGCAAACGCCTGCGAAGGAAAAACAAACTTGACGGCGTGTGAGAGTCTAATGGGGTCTCGGGCTCTTCCATTGGGCGTGCGGCAGGGGTGTGTTTTCATGTGTGTGTGCGCCTGAGGTGAGAAAGCAGGATTTCTTAGAAGTTCAGCCGCAAACTCTACTAATGAAACATGAAGAACGCTTTTTCAAACCAGCATGATGCACTTAACTCTGGGTAAAGTCAACTAACATCCAGCAAAACAATCGGCCAATGGGGAAAGAGCAAACCTTCACACTTCTTGAAAATAGTCACTAATAAATGCTATTGGAACTAGACAAACATGCTTAAAACTGTGCAGTTTTTACTTTTTATAAGAACTGAATAATAAATAAAGTAATAAATAAATAAAAAAAAAGATTTTTATCTTAAATCCAGTCATCAAATATACTGTGTATTTTTGTGTAAGCATGAGATCTGTGCAGTTTTTACTTCTTATAAGCACTAAAAAATAAGTAATTTAGGTGCATTAAAACAAGAATATTTAACTTTAAATTCAGCTTATTTAATTTTGTGTAAGGTACACAATAACCTGAAAATAGATGAAAATTCTTTAAACATACCATTAAAATAATAATTTTGGTACACTTGTTTCAAGGACATTTTGTGTAAAAAATCTTAATTAAGATTCTTGAAATTAGATGGATTGATGGATAGATGGATAGATAGATAGATAGATAGATAGATAGATAGATAGATAGATAGATAGATAGATAGATAGATAGATTTTCTTATTTTCACCCATTTTCTTAAATTAATATTTACATGTGTTAGTGCGCTGCAGTGTGTGTTCATCTGTGTGTGTTTGCAGGGCGTCTGCAGGAGCGCGGCTGGCGGATGGAGCATGTGCTTCTGGTTCATCTGTACGTCAGGGACATGGAGAACTTCAGCCTCATCAACTCCCTGTACCGAAGCTTCTTCACACTGGATCCTCCAGCCAGGTACATCACTGGTCCATCACTGGTACATCACTGGTCCATCACTGGTCCATCACTGGTGCATCACTGGTCCATCACTGGTCCATCACTGGTCCATCACTGGTCCATCACTGGTGCATCACTGGTCCATCACTGGTACATCACTGGTCCATCACTGGTCCATCACTGGTGCATCACTGGTCCATCACTGGTCCATCACTGGTCCATCACTGGTGCATCACTGGTCCATCACTGGTCCATCACTGGTGCATCACTGGTCCATCACTGGTCCATCACTGGTCCATCACTGGTCCATCACTGGTCCATCACTGGTGCATAACTGGTCCATCACTGGTGCATCACTGGTGCATAACTGGTCCATCACTGGTGCATAACTGGTCCATCACTGGTCCATCACTGGTGCATAACTGGTCCATCACTGGTGCATCACTGTTGCATAACTGGTACATCACTGGTCCATCACTGATGCATAACTGGTCCATCACTGGTGCATCACTGGTGCATAACTGGTACATCACTGGTGCATAACTGGTCCATCACTGGTGCATCACTGGTACATCACTGGTGCATAACTGGTCCATCACTGGTGCATCACTGGTACATCACTGGTACATCACTGGTCCATCACTGATGCATAACTGGTCCATCACTGGTGCATCACTGGTGCATAACTGGTCCATCACTGGTGCATCACTGTTGCATAACTGGTACATCACTGGTCCATCACTGGTCCATTACTGGTCCATCACTGGTCCATCACTGGTGCATAACTGGTCCATCACTGGTGCATAACTGGTCCATCACTGGTCCATCACTGGTGCATAACTGGTCCATCACTGGTCCATCACTGGTGCATCACTGGTACATCACTGGTGCATAACTGGTCCATCACTGGTGCATCACTGGTCCATCACTGGTGCATCACTGGTGCATCACTGTTCCATCACTGTTCCATCACTGGTCCATCACTGGTCCATCACTGGTGCATAACTGGTCCATCACTGGTCCATCACTGGTGCATAACTGGTCCATCACTGGTCCATCACTGGTGCATAACTGGTCCATCACTGGTCCATCACTGGTGCATAACTGGTCCATCACTGGTCCATCACTGGTGCATCACTGGTACATCACTGGTGCATAACTGGTCCATCACTGGTGCATCACTGGTCCATCACTGGTGCATAACTGGTCCATCACTGGTGCATCACTGGTACATCACTGGTGCATAACTGGTCCATCACTGGTCCATCACTGGTCCATCACTGGTGCATAACTGGTCCATCACTGGTCCATCACTGGTCCATCACTGGTGCATCACTGGTACATCACTGGTGCATAACTGGTCCATCACTGGTGCATCACTGGTCCATCACTGGTGCATCACTGGTGCATCACTGTTCCATCACTGTTCCATCACTGGTCCATCACTGGTCCATCACTGGTGCATAACTGGTCCATCACTGGTCCATCACTGGTCCATCACTGGTGCATAACTGGTCCATCACTGGTGCATAACTGGTCCATCACTGGTCCATCACTGGTCCATCACTGATGCATAACTGGTCCATCACTGGTCCATCACTGGTGCATAACTGGTCCATCACTGGTCCATCACTGGTCCATCACTGGTGCATAACTGGTCCATCACTGGTCCATCACTGGTGCATAACTGGTCCATCACTGGTCCATCACTGGTGCATCACTGGTACATCACTGGTGCATAACTGGTCCATCACTGGTGCATCACTGGTGCATCACTGGTGCATAACTGGTACATCACTGGTCCATCACTGGTACATCACTGGTGCATAACTGGTCCATCACTGGTGCATAACTGGTCCATCACTGGTGCATCACTGGTCCATCACTGGTGCATCACTGGTGCATAACTGGTCCATCACTGGTGCATAACTGGTCCATCACTGGTGCATCACTGGTCCATCACTGGTGCATCACTGGTGCATAACTGTTCCATCACTGGTGCATCACTGGTCCATCACTGGTGCATCACTGGTCCATCACTGGTCCATCACTGGTGCATCACTGGTGCATAACTGGTCCATCACTGGTGCATCACTGGTCCATCACTGGTGCATCACTGGTGCATAACTGGTCCATCACTGGTGCATCACTGGTGCATAACTGGTCCATCACTGGTCCATCACTGGTGCATCACTGGTCCATCACTGGTGCATCACTGGTGCATAACTGGTCCATCACTGGTGCATCACTGGTCCATCACTGGTGCATCACTGGTGCATAACTGGTCCATCACTGGTGCATCACTGGTGCATCACTGGTGCATAACTGGTCCATCACTGGTGCATCACTGGTGCATCACTGGTCCATCACTGGTGCATCACTGGTGCATAACTGGTCCATCACTGGTGCATCACTGGTGCATCACTGGTGCATCACTGGTGCATCACTGGTGCATAACTGGTCCATCACTGGTGCATCACTGGTCCATCACTGGTCCATCACTGGTGCATCACTGGTGCATAACTGGTCCATCACTGGTGCATCACTGGTCCATCACTGGTGCATCACTGGTGCATAACTGGTCCATCACTGGTGCATCACTGGTGCATCACTGGTGCATCACTGGTGCATAACTGGTCCATCACTGGTGCATCACTGGTCCATCACTGGTCCATCACTGGTGCATCACTGGTGCATCACTGGTGCATCACTGGTCCATCACTGGTGCATCACTGGTGCATAACTGGTCCATCACTGGTGCATCACTGGTGCATCACTGGTGCATCACTGGTGCATCACTGGTGCATAACTGGTCCATCACTGGTGCATCACTGGTCCATCACTGGTCCATCACTGGTGCATCACTGGTGCATAACTGGTCCATCACTGGTGCATCACTGGTCCATCACTGGTGCATCACTGGTGCATAACTGGTCCATCACTGGTGCATCACTGGTGCATAACTGGTCCATCACTGGTCCATCACTGGTGCATCACTGGTCCATCACTGGTGCATCACTGGTGCATAACTGGTCCATCACTGGTGCATCACTGGTCCATCACTGGTGCATCACTGGTGCATAACTGGTCCATCACTGGTGCATCACTGGTGCATCACTGGTGCATAACTGGTCCATCACTGGTGCATCACTGGTGCATCACTGGTCCATCACTGGTGCATCACTGGTGCATAACTGGTCCATCACTGGTGCATCACTGGTGCATCACTGGTGCATCACTGGTGCATCACTGGTGCATAACTGGTCCATCACTGGTGCATCACTGGTCCATCACTGGTCCATCACTGGTGCATCACTGGTGCATAACTGGTCCATCACTGGTGCATCACTGGTCCATCACTGGTGCATCACTGGTGCATAACTGGTCCATCACTGGTGCATCACTGGTGCATCACTGGTGCATCACTGGTGCATAACTGGTCCATCACTGGTGCATCACTGGTCCATCACTGGTCCATCACTGGTGCATCACTGGTGCATCACTGGTGCATCACTGGTGCATCACTGGTGCATCACTGGTGCATCACTGGTGCATCACCAGTGATGCACCAGTGATCCAGTTTTGACTTTTACTCAAAGCCTTTATGTATAATGTATTATAAAGGTATTTTAATGCATTATTTCTACTTCTTGTAACGTATTGCTGTCTCCTCAGGGTGTGTGTTCAGGCATCTCTCCCGCTCGGTCAGCACCTTCAGATGGACGTTCTGCTTCACGATTGGACAACGGCGAGCGAGAACGACGGGTTTCCTCAGAGACACACACTTCACGTCCAGAGCCGGTCTCACTGGGCCCCAGCCAGCATCGGGCCCTACAGTCAGGCCACGCAGGTATCCACCATCCGTATCCACCAAACACCGTTTGCCTCCGCTAAACATCTGCTATGTACATCCGCCAAACACCGCGCCCATCCGCCAAACACTGTGTGCATCTGCCAAACACCGTGTGCATCCACCAAACGCCGCGCCCATCCGCCAAACACCGCGTACATCCGTATCCGCCAAACACCGTGTACATCTGCCAGTAGTTCTATGTAACTATGAAAGGTGCGAAAGCCTCTTATGAAGGAAATAAAGGCTGACATCATGGAGGCGCGATCGCTCTATATGTTAATCTGTGTTGAATTAGCAGACAGCGAGCGCAATATGATGAACTCAACAGCTCAATCACGGCTAAACGCTGTCGCGCAGCCGTCACACACCACAGCTCACGTCACATGTGCAAGAGGAGCCTGTGGACTCGGCCCCACAGTGATGTAATTAGCCCCACGCTGAGCCCACGCGCACGCTAACCCCCCGCCACGCGCTCTAATGACCAATCCCCCGCTCCTATAACTTTCCCGCCAATAATCACTGATTCATTATTATATTTAGTTTGGAGCAGGACGTGTGTTTTCAGAAGAACAGTATACGAGTCGGAGAGACTGATTTATGTTGGAGATATTGAGCTTCTTCTGCAGGTTTTAATTCATGGTTTTACATTTTAGATTTTTGCAATTGTTTTGTGTGTTTTGTCGATTGTTGCTACTAGCTGATGGGTTAGCTATGTTTTATTATATGATGTTTTATATTATATATTTTATTTCAAGTAAGAACAATGTTTTTTAAAGGTTTTGGTTAATATTAAACCCGCTGTAAAGACACGTCAGAATTAAAATTAAGAAAAAAAATAAATAAATAGGAATTAAGAAAATAAAATAATGAAATAAGAAAAATGAAATTATTTTAAATTCTGAAGATATATTATATTATTTATCTTATTTTATATTTAATTTGAATTAAGAAAAGGTTTTTAATTTTTCTATTTTGTATTTATTTATTTATTTTTAATCAAGTTTTACCCCATTGTAAAGACACTTCCGAATGAATACTTAAGTAAAAAAAACAAACAATAAATGACCTAAGAATATGTGAATTTAAATTTTGCTTCTGAAGCGTCTGGTCCGACTCATATGCGGTTCTTCAGTGAATTAAATGAACTTGAAGAGTGAAAGACAAAACACACCATTTCCCAGTCACAATTAATCGTGCTATTGAAAGAAAAATGATCTTCTTGTACTATTTTCCCAAACTAGACGGATGTTGATTTAATAATTACTTTCTCTATAGCTAGAAAAGAACAATATCAAACAATTAATTGGTGTCAAACTGGGTTTTATCATAATATTGAGCATTAGCTGGAACGGAGCGAAGCAATGACTCCAGGCGCTGTCTGTAAAGTGTGTGTGAGATGTGCGCTCGTCAGTGTGTGCTGAGAACGGCTGGTTCAGTCCCGATGCTGATCAGGTTTGATGAGGCACATTCGTTAACCTTTGCGTCGGTGACGCTGTGTCTCCAGGCCCTCAGCGCTCGCGTCCTTTAGATTAAATGAAACGCTCGTGTGCTTTTATCCGCCCCTGATTAGCCCGCGCGCCGGGGTCAGCATTAGCATAATAGTCCCGATATCCGTGATGAGGAACGTGTGGCAGATCCAGCTTTCTCTGCTCTTCTACATCAGATGATCCTGTGCCGTTATTTGGATGTTTATGCAAATTCAATTAGCCGTTTATCGTTTAAGGCTTCGGTTATGTCCTGCAAAGGATGCTGGGTGTAATGAGGGATGATCGAATGATGTTTGATGTTTGCTTTTACACCTTGCTAATATCGCCGGCAAATTGAGGGAAGAAACATTTCTCCAAGCGAATGCAAAAAAAATCAATTTGGTCTGCATGTTGGCAGATGCTTGGGTTGACCCTTCATTAACCAAAGTCGTGGTTAACAGCAGGAGGCGTAGGCGGCGTGTCGACACACACTTTGTGATTTAATGTTTCCCGTTCCCGAAAATCCCTTCGGAAGAGCGACTCAAACTGCAGCGATTCTATTACGACCGCTGAACAAACACAAACACGCTGTTAAATCTCGATCAGCACGGCACCCTGGGACACGTGCACTAATCCGCTTTCACACAGGCCTGTTAGTCCCAGTTTTGGGAGTACGCCCACTCCATCGGGAGGCTCGGGAAACCACGCCATTGGATTTGCATTGGGAAGAAATGCGAATGTGCCGCCCACAGTACGAGTGTGTGCTGCGGGAACGCCTCTAATCTGCTTAAGGGTGTAAATCGATTAAAACACTGAGCCGGGATCCTCCCGAGACGGGCCGGGACGCCATCCGCCTTCGCTGAGGAGGACGACGGGACAGCTGTCAATCAACACTGGTTTCCAGTCCAAATATCTGACAATTATTAAATCAAGAAGCATTTAATGATCAAAATTTGCATAAAACAAGCAAAATTATCTGCCAATGGGGTTAGAAGAAACATCTTAATTCAAATGGAAAATTAGTATTAAAAAAAATCTTAATTCATCTTAATTCTGACCCCATTGGAAGATTATTTTCCGCGTTTTAAGCAAAAACTTTCATTCTTGTTTTCTGTAATTGACAGTAGATAACCCAATAAATGAAACACACAAAGCCATTTTAACAAGCCTATCAATAATTATTTATTTGTTATACAGTGGTATGAATAAGTTTTGGCACCCATGCTAAAGTTTCCTAAAAAGAGGAATAAAAAATCATCTTTTGGATATTGATCTTAATGCCTTAATTAGAAAAATGAGGAAAACTCCAACCTTTCTTTGTGAATTAATAATGTATCATAAATAAATAAATGTTTTTCCTTAAAATACAGGGTGCATAAGTCAGGACACCCCTATGTTAAATTCCCATAGAGTCAGGCAGATTTTTATTTTTAAAAGCCGGTTATTTCATGGATCCAGGATAATATGCATCCTGATAAATAAAATATCCCCACATCATCATCACACACCCTCCACCACACCTAGAGATTGGCATGGTTTTACTTCAGTTAGCCTAATAGCTGGTTTGATTTGCATTGAAAGATGATCTTATGGAAAGTACCCCATGCCAATCTCTAGGTGTGGTGGAAGGTGTGTGATGATGTGGGGATATTTCAATCCCAAAGGCCAAGGGAACTTTATCAGGATGCATATTATCCTGGATCCGTGAAATAACTGGCTTTTAAAAATAAAAATCTGCCTGACTCTATGGGAATTTAACATCGGGGTGTCCTGACTTATGCACCCTGTATTTTAAGGAAAAACATTTATTTATTTATGATACATTATTCATTCACAAAGAAAATTGGTGTCCTTAAAGGTTGGAGTTTTCCTCATTTTTCTAATCAAGGCATTAATATCAATATCCAAAAGATTATTTTTTATTCCTCTTTTTAGGCAACTTTAGCATGGGTGCCAAAACTTATTCACACCACTGTATTATCTGGAATATTTACGAAAATCCGTGCAGCAGGTCTATCAATTTATGTATATAGCCTATTCAGTTTAATTTTCTAATTAGCCTATTATAGATAGGACTGCATACTTTATTTATTAAAATTAAACTGTAAGTGTCCATTGATTGTGAAGTTGCAGATCAAGCGCATGGGGCTGCATGTCTTCTCTTGTTATGAATTATGTTATTACAGTTAACTACGCGCAGCTGTAATACGGTCAAACCTGCCGGAACTACTTTAGCCGTGCGTTTCCCTGAAAATAATCGCACACCTTTGGAACGTTCTCAACCAATCAGAATCAAGAATTCAGCAGCCCTGTAGTATAAATTAAATTAATAAACATGATCCTTTACTTAAAAATGGTTTAAATGCTGGATTGCGAAGTTTTTCATATTATCAAAATGATCAAATCTAAACCTGTGTTTGAACTGTAAAGTCGTCTGAATCGTTTACAGTCAGTTATAGTTCAGTATGTCGTCATAGACATCGCCTGTATTCATTTTAAAAACCCTGCAGATAGCATGTGTGGAAAGAGTCTCTTCTGCTCTGCGTTTACATGATCAAAGATACAGTGAAATATTATTATAATGTAAATCATCTGTTTTCTATGTGAATATACAGTAAAGTGTAATTTATTCCTGAATTTATCATCATTACTCCAGTCTTCAGTGTCACATGACCCTCCAGAAATCACTCTAATATGAGGATCTGATGATCAACAAACTGGGATTTTAAAAAGTTTTGGCTCAAAAAGATCTTTAAAAAAATAAAATAGAAATAAATACTTATTAATCAAGGGCGCATTGAATGGATCAAAAGTGACAGTTACGACATTTATAATGTTACAAAAGATAATTTTTTTTTAAATAAATGCTGTTTTTTAACTTTCTATTCATCAAACAATCCCTAAAAAATAAAATGCATCTCAGTTTCATAAAAAATCTGAAACATTGATAATCAGAAATGATGTGTGTGTGAGTGTGTGTGTGTAAGCCTCTTCATCAGCAGGAGCGGTTAATGAGGCTCTGGGACAGAGGTGTGTGTGTGTGTGTGTGTGTGTTCAGATTAATTAGAACATTTAACGGTGTTTGTAGCGCATGTAAATGAGTGATCTCCTAGGAGGATCTCCCTTCGCCATAATCTATTAAAGCCACGCTTTCATCTCACCTCGCCCTTGCCATATTTTATGGATTTTTCATAAACACTGCCTATACTTCATAAATGTCTCAATTTTCTAGTCTATTAACATTATTTGAGGAGCAGTGGCTGGAGGAGGCGTGCGAGCGTGTAATAATGCGTCAGTAATGCGCAGCGCTGCGGGCGAGAGCGGGAACACTGTAAAGATGCCATCAGCTGCAACACACACACGCACACACACACACACACAGCGCAACACTCTCCTGCATCATCCTTTAAAATAACACAACCAGTTCACACACACTACAGAACACTATACACACATCATATAGTGCAAAGTGCGTTTGGTAATATCTTTTAATATAATTTCATTGTTTAATATGTATCTGTATTATTATTC